GATCGTCCATTGCCTCAGCACCACCCACTGCTGCGCACTCGCTGGCAGAGATCTTGCACTGCTCCCAGCTCTTCCTCTTCCTTCCCCTTTCGCCCTTAACCCCCCACCATCTTCATCTCACACCACAAGAAATTGTATCCATGCCCCGCTCTCTGCCTTCCAATCTCCCCTTGTCCCTCTGCCTGCTGAACCGTGGCTTATGATGCCCGAAGTCAATTCCTTTTGAAGCCATAACTGCCCTGCGCTTCCCACCCCTCGGCCATAACTGTGTCCCGATCTCACTGCATTTCGCATCCTGGCGAGCTGCTACTCGAACATCACTTCCCGTATAGGTGACATGGGTGAGCCCATCTAGCTCAGGCAGTCACCTTAGACCAGCAAAAGTGACACGGTCCCATTGATGTTCTGCAACGCTTGACGCTATGAGGAGGAAGCCAGACAGAGGTGTTTCTTCTATTTATATAATTTTATAACCAACAACTACCTCCTTGTACTTGGGGCCACATTGCATTTGTCCTTGAACAGGGTCCAAATTTGACTTGTCGATCCATGATCCATGATCCATGATCCATGATTAAGTACGATACGCGTAATGCTTTCACACCATGGGTTTGAATCCCACGGTACCCTTCACATTGTCTCCAAACAATTGAAATCGGAACGCTGGATCACACATTACACAAGTCATCGATCACTATGCATTTGCATCAGAACTCTGGCTACATGCCAAGCCACAGGTCACTATTCAACGGCATATGCTACAGGTCACTTTTCAACAACATATGCCCTGAAGCAGCGCAAACTGCAAGGAATCTGGCCTCCGGACATGAACACGTTCAGCAAGCTTTACATGCTTCAAGCCTTCAACAGCTTTATCTCCTGCTAACCTTAATCAGCCGGCTGACCGTGGTTAAAAAACGGCCACCAGACAAGGTTGGCAGATGTGTTCCTTCATCACGGAAACATGTGATCTCCAGGACATGGAGACAACACACAACCAATTCACCACAAGAGCCAAAAGAGGCCACGTGCATGCAGTGCGCATCCATGCCGCTGAATCTCAAGATTTGCAAGCCACATACCAAACCCTCGTATCCAGGGCTCTCTATGTCCATGCCTGTCTGATGTCATCAAGATCTAGAGCCTGTCTGAGCTCATCAAGATCTAGAGCCTGTCTAAACTAGTCAACATCTAGAGCCTGTCCGAAGCCATCAAGATCCGTGTGCGCATGATCACAAAAATCTCCTCGATCACCTCACCATAGGGTTGCAGCAAGGAGGGAGCAGCAGTTATCAGAAGAAGAGATCCAGGTGGTAAGAGTATCGTGAACCACAGCAACTGGCCTCACTCAGTTGGTACATCCCTGAAACTGTTGAAATACAGACCTGAGTTCAATCTCGACTGAACGCAGACGAGTAAAATACTATAATCACAGCAAAACTCTTCATTCAACAGTAATGTGGCACAAGGGAGTCTGGAGTAAGACCAGGGTGTTTGACATTGCAAATGGCTTGTGTGGTGGTCACTCCGTGAACACGATTATCATGCAAATACATCATCGCACCAACTTACCAAAAAAGGGAAGGCGGAATTCACCCGCTGTGCAGGCTTGAGATGATGAGCCATACCGTGTGTAGATGGAAACAAGCAGTCAGTGGTTAGGCGAGCGTGTTTCCGTCACCACCGACAGCTGGCTTTCGTAAATTCTGAACGTCAGGCAGCAAACTCTGCCAAACCTTTGCGGTCTCATCCGCTAGCCGTGCCTGTGCCAGAGCAAAATTCCGCATAATGGTCGCCAGGTCTTGTGTCTTCTGCTGCTGAAATCTCACCATTTCTGCATGCATGGTCTCCACCAGCACTTCATATGCTCTCTTCAGTTCCTCTTCCCTTTTCTTGCACTGTCATCATCACCGCAATTTACAGAGAACGATAGTCAGATACATCCAAAAATCAGGCAGATAAGCGTTTTTTTTTTTTATTTTAATTTTCCTCTCAAATCTTTCATCATCATTCAAATTCTTTCAATTCACCTTCACTACCAACCTACCACTACTACTAACAGGCAGAGAAGTTGAACAGCATAGCAACCTTTTTTTTTTTTAAGAAAAGGGCAATGGCCTCAAGATATCATTACTGAGCTGACTGGGTCCAGGATTTTTTATTTTTTATTTTTTTGGAGGGGGGAGGGAGGAGGGGGGGGATTCGAACTCAGGTCTGTATTTCAACAGCTGAAAGGTGTACCAACTGAGCTAGGCCCGTCGGTTAGCATACTAACATTACACAAAGTCGCGATAATCACATTCAGTGCAATATCAGGATGCGCAGTTGCCTGAATCGGACCACAAACAGAATATTATAAATGGGGCTCAGCACTATCGTCTTCACCCGAATCGAAACGGTCATTATTGACCAATGTGGGCAGAAAGTTGCACCAAATACCGCTATAATGACTGGCCATTCTGTTCCTGTGGAGACGGTAGCAAGAATACTCGCAATTGAATGGTGTATGAGAGAATGGAATGCTGTAGGATGGAATGTGAAATCAACAAGTAGAAAGGCTCTGTGCAGATGAGAAGATTAAGTTGTATCATTTATATCAAATTATGTGCAAAACAATTATGGGACCAAGGAACTCGCGTACGAAGAGAGGGCACTCATAAAGCAACAAAAAAAGGAGGCTGTCATAGATGTTCATCCTCTGCACAATTCTAACTTCCCTAAACCCCTTTGATGCCCATCAGTTAACGGTGGGCCCAAACAAGCAGATAAATTAAGAGGGGTGGGTTCAACAGGATTGGAGATTAAGATCTCTTGATCTATAGCCCGAACAACCAAATGACTGAGTGGTACACAGATGAACCACTGCCGTTCACGGACATCAGCCACGGGGAGGGTGGCCGCTCGTTCCGGAGGCCAAAATGAAACGGCGGTCGCTGATGAGAATTATCAACGGGGGCCACCATTGGGCCCAGCCTCGGAAGAATGCGGTATAGGCTAGATTCCAAGTTTTCCCAGCATTGTGAAAGGTAGTGACGGTTTAAGCTCAAACCCTGGTGAACACACCCCTTTGTAAAAAGAATTAACTAAATTTAACTTTACATTCAGGGATGATACGCAAGCGCGCACACACACACACACACACACACACACACACACAC